CGACTGCGGAAAAGAAAGATGTATTCATAAGATTGCCTTTTAGAGGAGACGCAGAGAGCGAACTAGTCCGACGGCGCTTAACTACAGCTATCACGAGGGCATTCCCTGCGGCGAATTTACGCGTATACTTCACAAACTCTCCTCTCCTACGTTTGGGAGGTAAAGACAGACTACCGTTGGAGGCCACATCAATGTGCATTTATTCATTCACTTGCTCCTGTGGAGCAGGATACATCGGCCGCACAACGAGACGCCTGGTAAAGAGGGTGCGTGAAAATATGCCCGCCTGGCTAGACAGAGGTGAGACCCGGTCGATTTCGAGTTCTATTCTCGCGCATTTAATCGATACGAACCACCGAGTCGATGCCAAGAAAGCATTTCAGGTTGTCTACCGGACACCAACATGCTTCTCTAAAGGCCTACGCCAACGGATACTAGCAACGGCAGAGGCAGTAGCTATACGGTTAGTGAATCCGGTGTTATGCTGTCAGAAAACTCTGACACAAGCGCTTTCGCTGCCGTGGCCAACGCCAACCCCAAGCGATGAAGCCATGCCGCCTCAAATCCCTAATCACGATGATGGGTACTCAGTGTACTCAACCCAAGATCATTACTCAAAGACTCTCTTACCCCCCTCCCCTAGCTCTAACGTCTAACACCCGCCGGCCTTCTCATGCGGGCGGCGTGGGGATGATGAGTGTTAGTGACTTAATAGCCCTTGAGGCATCTATAAACACTGTTGATTGTGTACATTTTCATTTGTTCATGTAATTGTATTGGCCTGAGGAAAAATTACCGAAAACGTGCGTTCGCCAATTTGACTTTTCATTTGTAACATGGGAATATTTGCGGAAGTTAGCTTCCGTCTGTTTAGCTAGTCCGTGGTTTATTGTCTGGACTGCACGCTCTGCAAGGCCATTAGAAGCAGCGTGGTACGGGGCAGTAGTTAAATGTCTAATTCCATTTTTCTCCATGAAATCTTTAAATTCTGCACTAGTAAAGGCCGGGCCATTGTCTGAAACGACCATTTCAGGTATCCCAAAAGTAGAGAAAACGGTTCGCAACTTGTTGATTGTAGTCAGTGAAGAACAAGAATTTCCTGTCGGAATCGCATCAATCCATTTAGTGTGGGCGTCAACTACCACCAAAACCATATGGCCTTGGAATGGCTCAAAATAATCGACGTGTACCCTCTTCCACGGCGAGTTTGGTCAGGCCCAAGGCTTCAGAGGAATCTTCGGTAAGGTCTTCTGTGTTATTTGGCACACGTGACATGCTTTCACCACGTTTTGTATATCTGCGTCAATTTTGGATCACCAAACATAGCTGCGGGCGAGAGCTTTCATTCCAACTATACCATGATGGGCATTATGCAGGTCTCTGAGGATGGTCCGTCGGCCTTTTGGTGGCACAACTACACGATTACCCCATAGTATGCATCCGTCTTGTAGACTTAACTCGTTCTGACGGCCGAAGAATGGTTGAAAATCAGGGGAGGTAGAGCACGGCCAGTCAGATTGCAAGGCTCTTTTTACCCGACTTAGGAGAGGGTCTCTCGATGTCCACTGTCGAATTTGTTGACAGGTTAAAGGTGCGTCGACTAGGTTCTGCAAAAGATTTACGGTCTCAAAAACAGATGCCCCGTTAATGCCATCGTCCACAATAGGAAGCCTACTCAAGGCGTCAGCCACTACGTTTGCACTACCTGCAATGTATTTCATTGCATACGTGTAAGCAGACAGGGTGAGTGCCCATTGTTGCATTCTCGGCGAGGACATCTGTTGTATCCCTCGTTTTTCACCCAGCATACCTAAGAGGGGTTTGTGATCAGTGTGAATCTCAAAGGGTCGGCCAAAAAGATACAGATGGAAGCGATGTAGGCCAAACATTATTGCTAAGGCCTCTTTATCTAGTTGCGAATAGTTGGTTTCCGCCTGTGACACAGATCTTGATGCAAAGGCGATCGGCATCTCCGCACCAGAAGGCATTCGGCGCATGAGAACCGCACCTACGCCGTACGGAGACACATCACACTTCAGTATGATAGGCTTTTCGGGGTCATAATGAACTAGGACCGATGAGGAGGTAAGAGCCGCCTTTGCTTGTTCAAAAGCACTTTGTTCGACCTCCGACCAGTTCCAGCAACGATTCTTTTCAAGTAGTCGATAAAGAGGCTTTAGAATTGTAGCCGATTGATTAATAAAGCGACTAAAGTGGGTGACCAACCCCAGGAATGAACGCAATTAACTAGTATTATTGGGTCGCGGCGCCGTCTTCAAGGCTTTGAGCTTATGTTCGAGTGGATGGAGGCCAGTTTTATCCACCCTGAAGCCCAGGTATTCTACCGAGTCGGCAAGGAAAATGCATTTATCTCTCCTGAGTTTAAAACCTGCTTCTTCTAAACGTCCCAACACAATGCTTAGAGTCTCTAGATGACTATGTTCAAATGAACCGGTGACTAATATATCGTCAAGGTATGCGCAAACGTGAGGTATATCTTTCACGAGGTTATCAATCAAGCATTGAAATAAACCGGGAGCCGAACTTACTCCAAATGGTAGTCTTTTATATCTAAATAAACCCCGACGCGTATTGATGGTGGTGGCTTCTCGGGATTCAGTATCTAGGACGACTTGGTTGTATGCATGCTTTAGGTCCAAAGTTGTAAACTGATGACCATCCGAGAGAGATGCGTACAGATCCTCGATGCGCGGGAGAGGATAAGGGTTCAGTTTAGTTGCTGAATTGATTGTCAGCTTGTAGTCGCCACAGATACGCACAGAACCATCGGTTTTAAGAACAGGAACTATTGGGGCTGCCCATTCCGAATATTGCACGGGATCAATAAAATCCGCTTTCTGTAGGCGATCCAGCTCTTTTTCGACCTTCGGTGCGACTGCATAGGGGACTGTACGAGCTTTGAAGAACCGGGGCCGGAAATCTGACTGAAACTGGAACTTAACAGGTGGACCGCGGTAGCGGGTAGCAGAATCGTCACGAAATAGATCCTTATGCTTTACCAAAATTGAATCTAAAGCCGGATTTACACAAATCCGATGTACATAGGATAGTACAGAAGGCACACATTTAATCCAATTCCGTCCGAGGGGATTTGGTTGCTGGCTTCCTCTCACCACATGCACCGGCAAGTAATGAAGTTCTCCATCATGCTCGACTTCGGCTGTAAAGACCCCTCGAACCTCTACGTTCTGTCCAGTGTAACTACGGAATGTTGAGCTAGCCGGAAGGAGG